GGTTCCCCGGGCGGTGAGAGGGGCCCGGAGCCTCGGTCGGCGGCTTGGAGCTCCGCCACGGCTTTTCCCCCGGGCCGAGGCCTCCGGAGAAGAGAACCTGCTCCCGGTGGTGCTCTGCGTCCTTCGGAGCCGAGCTGCAGCTGGGCTGATAACCCGCGTTCAGGCCTCATGGCTTGGAGAGCTAAAAATAATTCTTAATACTGTATTTCGACGTTAGTTTGGGGCTTTTTGTTTGTTTGTTTAAGTGTATGCAGGGGATGTACAACCTGGTGCTTTGCAGAGTTAGTCTTTTAGTGCCCTGACTCACAACATTGAGTGCTTCTAAAGTTAAAGGCCAAGACTTTGCAACATTGGAAGCAACACTGTTAAGTAGCCTTTTTGCCCCCCAGTACTTCAGTTTGGTCAGCTCGCTGGCAGGTGGAATACTTTATTTTGGGGGTGGGGTGCGTTCCTGGTTTGTACATTTTATTTACATCCTTCTCTCTTTCCTGTTTCATTTTCAGCCGGATTTTGATGTCGATCACTTCGTATCAGACTGCAGGAAACGTGTTCAGTTGGAAGAGCTCAGGGAGGATCTGGAGCTCTATTACAAACTCCTTAAAACTGCCATGGTGGAACTCATAAATAAGGACTACGCAGATTTTGTCAATCTCTCAACAAATCTAGTAAGTCTTACTGAGTTGTACTACGTAGTTCAGACTTAACATGTTCTTGTGTGATTTTTATTGTTTTGGGTGAGAAGTATGTGGCTTGTATTTTGGCATTATTAGTTTTGAGGCATCTTAAACTGTGACCCCTTGCACTGAGAGAAACTGAGAGACTGTTATTGTAGAATATAGTTACAGTACAGGCTGTTGGCCCATAATAAGTGTTTTGGATATATGCTTTTTGTCTTAAAAAAATCAATTCATTAGGAAATTAGACTCAAGGCAAACTTTTAGAACTGCTAGTAGTTGTAAAATTGAAGTAATCAAATCGTTAAAACTGAATAGCAAAGATACAAGTAAGGCCATTCTGAGGGATTCTTTCAGGAATCTTTAAATTTACTATACAGTCAGTGTATCTTGACTGAAAATTTTAATCATTTTCATATTACAATGTCTTGTTCACTGTGTATCCTGCTCTTTTACTCCACTTCATCCAGATTCCAATTATATAGGTTCAGAGAGTGAGATTGAATATTTTTATTGGAAGAAAACCTTCCACAGATGGAAGTTTTCTTTCATTTTTGGCTTTGGGTGACAAGCTGGTATCTTTATCCCTGTGTTTGAGGTAATGTATTTCTGCATTGCACTTAAAACTGGAGACTATAAAGAGAAGTATTATTTCTCAGTTCTCTTTTATTATCTGTAAAATGGTAGGCTTTGTCAGCAATTTATGAACTTATCAAAAAAGTCATAAATGTTTTTATGGTAATTTCTTTAGGTTGGCATGGACAAGGCCCTTAATCAGCTTTCGGTACCCTTGGGACAGTTAAGGGAAGAAGTTATGGTATGCTCAAAACAATCATTAGACACAGCTTGGTAAAATTCAGCTCAGTTTCGTATGATGTATAGAATGTCTTTTATTCATGTTAATAATTATTATGATAAACTTCTCTTTGAAAATTGACTTGTTAGAGCAGTAGTAGGAGGGGCATTGTGTTTTCAAGCCATTGTAGTGGCAGTAAATGTACGTTTTCTATAGTCCATTTTAACAGAGATAAATGATTTCTTTAATGTGATAAATGAATGGAATGGATGGGCTCTTGCAAGACAAGTATATGGTGAAATATTGAGCTGTTTTAATATTTAAGTAACTTAAAGATAGTAGTAAATAAATCAGATACAACACAGGCCCACTGAGGACTTTTTTGCTCTGTCCTGTGGTTTAACCATAAAAAATGACGCTCTTGAAGATTGGTCTTACTCTGACTCTTCCACAGGGACTTGGTATTTAGTAAAGGGCAATTTTTGTTCATGTTGGCAGCTGATTCAAAGGGAAGTTTGCTGCATAAATGTGCCTTCAAAATATCTTAGCCTTGATGTCTAAAAATCAGTTCACAGAATAGAGAAATATTTATTGTGTGAAAAATGTTACTTAAATCTGATTTATAACTTTAGTTTCAAGACATAAAATCATATTGGTTTTATTGCTTATTTCTGGGTGAAAGGTGTTTTGATTTCTGTAAGGGACTGAAAGAACGCTTCTGCTTGAAAAAATGATGTGTGGTGGCAGTGCTTTAGGAGCAGGCTATACTTTCAGTTATTTAGTCTTATTTCTGTTTTTTTTTCACTTAGAGGGCAATTGATGTACTGTAGCTTTTATTTGTCCTTTTTTCGTATTCATCTGTTTTCTGTTTTGAGTTTAGTTTTTTGAGTTAATGTTTTGCAAGCCTGAAGTGGGAAGCCAACTTTTCATACTGACTTTCTCTCTCACAGAGTCTGAAGTCATGTGTCAGTGAAGGAATTCGAGCAGTAGATGACCGAATGAATAAACAGCAGGATATTAGAAGAAAAAAGGTACAACAGACAAATTATTACTTTGGAAAAAATCCTCATTAAGGCAACTTTTCTTTGTGCCATTAACCCAGAGAAAATGAAATGTTAAAAGTTTTAGGCTGCCTAGATGCACACTGTGCAGTATTTTGCACTTGTGAAAAATAAAGATTGAAGTTTTGGTTGACAGACTTAATTTTTACGATGTCTAGTTGATCATAATCTTTATTTTACTTTATTTGCCAAAAACATCTATGTTTGGTTTGGTTGGCTTTTTTCAATTATAGTTACTCATGTTTTTGCTTGTAGTGGTGTATAAACTTGCTTATTATGAATGTAATTGAAATACATCTGTCTAATTTCTATATGAGGGGGAGGAACTAACATTTGTCTTTTGTGCTTAACTTGGTAAAAATCAGGCATAAAAACAGCTGCTCTACATATGTGACAAACATTGTTTGTAGGGTTTTATGGACGAAGGTGAGCAGTACTTTAATTGAGACATGACTCAGGTATTAAGATGGAGGGAGAGAACTCAACACCACCAAAAAATAAACAACCCCAAAACCAAATCAAAATGAAAAAAACCATCCAAAACGTCTTCAGGGTTGTTAGGTAATGTAAATTGGGATTGGGGTCAGAGATGAAAAAACTTTCTTTAATTACAGATGTGTGTCCTGAGACTTATTCATGTTATTCAGTCTGTTGAGAAAATTGAGAAGATTCTGCATTCCCAAGGCACTAAAGAATTGTCCTCATTAGAGGGAAACAGGTAAATGTAAATATTAGGTTTTATTTGTAATTGATAGGACTAGCTTAATTTCATGGTATCGATGTAGATGTGTTTACATAAGTTAGGATATATCTTTACAGATGTAACTCTGATGGAAGAGGTGACTGTTATTTTAGTGCTTTCTCAGGCTTAGTCTTCTGCAAACTAGTAATTCACAGAATGCGTAACTCTGCCTCCAAAGTTCTGAAACACTCGTAGTGCTCTCAGTAAACGTGTGCTTTTTGAAGTTTGCATGCAATAATTATTTTTTTTTTTCTTGGAAGTCACGGGTCCTGTCATGTCTGAAATACTTTCTACAGTAGAGTTTATTTCAGTATCGTTTGGAAGTGAAATGGGAGATAGCTTTTCTTGTTTTCCCTGCATACGTATAACAGAAAGGACTGCTGCAAGGATAGTCTGAGGCAGGCAAGCCACACGCTTCTGCATTCTGGTAGAAGGAAAGTTTGTGACAAGTTCCAGTCAAACTCATAAGTTTTTGGGTTTTTAACAACTCTGTGGAAAGTGTCTTCTCCCTCTGCCTTTTCTGAGACATGGAAGATGTCTTTCAGCCAGTTTTGGAACTGATGTACCAGCTACGTGCTTGAGATAATTGACTGGAATGCCAGTGCAAATTACGCTGCAAGAATAAGACAGTTTCATGAACCTGTTTGAATGTGAGACTGTCTCTTCAGTTTAGTTCACTGGATCACATGGGAGTGAGTAGAGGGAGGCAGACAGAAGAATAGGTTGTTGCCTAGAGGGACAAAGCACATGGAACTGTTTTCAGTCAGGGTGAGGCACTTTACAGAATCATGTTTTGAAGCAAGATTGTACTCCGGTGGCTGAAAGTTTGGCTAATTATATAGACCTGAGAAGGGTAGGACAAGGAGTAATGGTTTTAAACTAAAAGAGGGCAGATTTAGACCGGATATAAGGAAGAATTTTTTTGCAGTGAGGGTGGTGAGGCACTGGCCCAGGTTGCCCAGAGAGGTGGTCGATGCCCCATCCCTGGAAACATTCCAGGCCAGGTTGGACGGGGCTCTGAGCAGCCTGACCCAGTTGAAGATGTCCCTGCTCACTGCAGGGGGTTGGGCTGGATGGCCTCTGAAGGTCCCTCCCAACCCAAAGCATTCTGTGATCCTGTGACTGTTCCTGTAGAGATAGCTGTCATTAGTTTTACCAAATGACGGGAAAGAAGGAACAAATCTGGATGGTGACGAGCACTTACGGTAATACGAGCTGTAAGCCTGCCTTACTGTGTGACAGTAAGCAGCACTGCCATGTAGAAAACAGTGCTTCATGCTGCTGAGGCACCTGCTTATGTTCCTTTCAGCTTCTGCTTCAACTGCTTCATGTCTTAGTAGCTCCAAAACAACTCTAATCACGTAGTCTGTTCCAGATTACTATTGCATGATTGCAATAATTGTAGTAGTAACTATCAGAATTCCAAATATTTAGATTAAACCACAAAAATTGGGGGAGAGTGTTATCTATCTGCTGCAGATGAAAGTGAGTTGATTTGAAAGGATCTAACTGTGTATTCTCATTTTGTATCATCTCTTTTCTAGCCCACTTTTAACTGGACAGGTTTTAGAGAGAATTGCCACAGAATTTAATCAACTGCAATTTCATGCAGTACAAAGCAAAGGAATGCCCCTTTTGGACAAAGTGAGACCAGTAAGTATTGCATGATAACCAGCTTAACGCTTGTAGGATCAAGCAAAACTGATGTAATTGAAAGACAAATGCCTCTTACTGCAGAGTTTTACTGAATTAGTTTGTGGGGAGAAATGAGTTTCGAGAGATCATTTTTATCATGACTAGAAGTATTGCTTCTTCTGAGGGTTTACACTTTGTTTGCGAACTTCTTCAGGATAAATTATGTAGAATAAGAGTAGGAAATACGACAGACATTTTTGTCAGCCTGATATGTCTTGCAGTTTGTCTGCTTGCTGACACTGAGGTCTAATTCTAGAGATTTATGTTGGTTTTGTTAGTTGCAGTGTACAGACCAGAATATAAATGGAATGTGCCTACAGAGTGGCTGGCTGGGATGTATTCAGCTTTGTCTCTTGGTGAAATCTGTTGCCCAGCTATGACTGTTTTGGCTGGTAGGCTAATCTCCCTAATATCCTGTTTGTAATAACTGTCTACTGTAAAAAATGAATTGACAGGTTTTTTCTTCTGTCTGTTCATTGGAGAGAGGAAACAGATGAAGACTGGTGGTTAAAGGTAGATAGTATGAATAATGTGAATATGGAGACAGGGTAACGCTTTAAGCTGTTTAGCATGGAGCTGACATTCGTGATGGCTTTTGAGCTAGTGAGCTAGTTCATAGTTCCAGTTTTTTGCTACTTATGTCTACTGGCAATGCAAAGATGTTTCGGCTAAAGGCTTCCATGGTACGGTGTTGATTCGTGGGTAGTTTACAAAACTGTTGTGGCCGCTGAGTTATTGAATATGGATAGCAACAGAAGGGTGGGCAACGTGGTAGTAGTTACGGTGGGAGAACCTTTATTACTTTGTCGTGTGGCTTCCTTAATAATGCTTGCCAGGGCTTCTGTCTTGTTGCTAAGGGTCATCAGATTATGGTCAGCAATTAGGTTATGGGCTTTGCATGTTCAGAACAAATTCTGTGGCTAGTTAAAGAATCATTTTAGGATGAATGGGCACAATACAGCATGCAAAAGGCCAGAGAAAAAATTTGACTTGTTAAATTGGTAGTTCGACTGTGATTGAATTAGTGTGTGTTGCTGAACTTGCTTTGAATACAGAGTTGTAAGGGACTGTTTTGGGCCAGGAGTGTATCTGCAGGTAGTGTAGCAATGAGTGGGATCTAGTGGAAGAGATGTTGCAGGAGATGAGGAAAAATGGTTTTAGCAAATGGGAGAATATATGGTGACTGAAGCAGCTGTTTGGCAGAAGCCGGAAGGAATCTAATGGCATGCCACGTGTTGTTTTTTTGCTTTTTTTTTTTGCCAGTGTCACTCGATGTCTTTGGTTTGCAGTAATTTGATAAGTAGTGCTGGGAACACACTCTCGTTTTCATTTTTTTACAGTGAGGGGTAAACGCCACAGTTGTTATCCCTGGTGATTTACTGTCAAGCTTTTCTGTAACGTCACACATAGTGGTTCAGTTGGACAAGGAACAAGTATGGACCTGTTTCTTCAGGATGAAGGGGAGCTTAGATAAGTTACCACAACTTAGAACATATAGAGGAAAACAATTGTCTTTTAACCTTATAATAAATACTGTGTTAAATAGTGTCATTAACCCATTAAGCTTGTGTTAATGTTCATTTAATGCTGACAGTTAGCGAAACTTGTGCACCTTTCAGATGAAAATGGAAAGCTGAATTCTGGAAGAGTTTTGTTCAGCAGCGATGGCAAGGTCTTGCTTTTGTTTTTTTGTTACTATATTTTGTTTCTCTTCACAGCGTATAGCTGGAATAACAGCTATGTTGCAGCAGTCTCTGGAAGGGCTGCTCTTGGAAGGCCTTCAGACTTCCAATGTTGACATAATACGTCACTGTCTTCGCACCTATGCAACAATTGACAAAACGCGAGATGCAGAGGCATTAGTTGGTCAAGTGCTTGTAAAACCTTATATAGATGAGGTAAGATTAAAATCAAGAATCCTAAGAAAGTTAACTGATTTGCAAACATGCTTATTTTTCCTGTTAACCTCCAGCTTTGTTTAGCAGCTTCAAAATGCCTTTGTGGAGAGAGCAGGAGAACTCAGCTCCAACACAATGTCATTTTGTTTGTTGTTGCTGTTTAAGAAAAAAGGGTAGAGGAGTTCTCTGTCTGCCTGTCACCAGTTTCAGGTTATATCCAGCTGGGCTTCTTCTTTTCGCCTACATTTTTCTTGGGGTGGGGAATCCAAAAAACAAACCTTACACCCAGCATATGACTGGAGTAAAATTCAATTTTTTTTCTGGACCAGGGTGCATCTGTGGGAATTGGAGCAGATCTGGGGTTTGCATTGCTTCATGGCTGGCTAAGTAGTAGGCAAATGCAGCAAAAATAGTTTATAGTGCAATGACCTTTTCTTCCCATTGTATAAAAAAGTAGTTTCTGCGATTCCTAGCTGTACTAGGAAGTTAGCAGGGTGAAGTGTTTGTTTGGGAAGCAATTGCTGTTGTCTGGTGGGAAAAATGTGTCAAAAGGTCAGTTTCTCAATTAATCAGAAACCAATTTTTACTAGGCCGTCAGTTTGCAGTAGCAAGTTGGACCAATCACAAAGTGCTGATGGAATTTTCTGAAATTAGGGGACTTTCTGCTAATTCTGTTGACTGTGCAACTTTTGCTGCTACCTCTAAAATGGTTCCTCACCTTTTTGTAGCACAGTTTGTTCTTACCACTTCTTCTGGCCTGAACAGTTGGTGACTAGTCTACACTACTTTTTTTTCTTTTTGTTGTGGTTGATGATAATGTAATTCCTCCAAAAAAAAGCTCAGTCAGTAACCTGCCACAATAGTGTAACAATCAGAATAACAATCATTTTTCTTGTATGTCAGCACACCTGCCGTTGCCACTAATAACATTTTTAAGGGCCTACAGTTATATTATGGTAACTCAAGTTTCAAAGCTTCAAGTAAAAGTCTAAAAATGGGTTTTAAGATATTTGATAATCTGCTGTGTTTGAAATGGCTGATAAAAGAGGTTTGTTATGTTTTTAATGAATGTGCTGAAGTGGTGTTGCTGTAGTCCCAAGACTACTTTTGACTCTCTTCGTCAGTGTGTTGGGAGTTATGTCCAGGTCAGGTAACGATTCCGTATGATTTCCAAGGATATTTGCTCCCTACTGAGATCTGAAGAAGCGCCCTTTTACAATACAATTACTAGTGCTAACTGACTGCCCCATTGCAGGAAACTTCGCTGGCTTTCACTAGATTGTCAGAGTGTTTCATAAATGCATTAAATTCACTGTCCTTAAAGAAGAGGTTAAACTGGGCCAGTGCCAGGGCTTCAGCAGTATTCATTTTCCTGCTCCTCTGGGGAGGAAAAACTAAAATACAAGCGCTGCCTTGGCGATTGCAAATATACACTTGCCTGAATTTGTGCATGTTAATAGAAGGCATAGATCTTCCTGTCATGGGTGCCTCTGCAGTGCACGGCACTTCTCAGTGGCTTTGAGTCCTCAGTTATGCTATTGGTGTATCTTTCCTTTGCTGTCAAGATTTTCTTCTGCTGTCATTAATCTTTAAATTGAGATATTTAAGAACATTCTCTTTGCTCAGTAAACTGTGAGAGGCATGTTATGATGTGAGGTACTCTTTTCTGCTTTCAGGGTATTTAGAACAGTTTGTTTTCTACTGGTATTTTACAAAAAAATGAGACTGCTTATAGTATAGAGTTAACATTAACACCCACAAAAGTGATGTGAACATTGTGTCTAAAAGTATTGAATATGTTTCTGTAGGAAATAATACAGTTGCTTTTTGTTACACGGATGTGCCTTGCTGAAAATAAATGCAGAAGCAACCTTAAGGTATTTGCTTCCTTGTTTCATTTAGTGTCAGATTGCCACTGTGTTCCCAACCGAGGCAATTGAAGAGTTAGTGTATTAATTCTGATGAAGGAGTTTTTCTTCTAAATCGAGATGAGGAAAAGAAATTACCTTTTTTCACTCAGTAGTGTCTTCAGCAGCCAAGAGATGGAATTGTTAGCTTTCCCTTCCCTGTGAAAGAATGGAATGTCTGGTAACACCTGAGCTGAATGTCACTGTCAGGAGGATGTTTCTTTTCTGCTGTTGGAAGGGCAACATTTAAAATTATTCTGGTTTTACTTTGTATGCACAGGGATTCACAAACCAAAGTCAGCTCCTGACGTTTGGGTAGGAGAGGGAGTTGAACGGTGTTGACCTCTCCCTTCAAGGACAAAGATCCTTTGGATGCTTGCTGGTGCTGTAGCATCTGCTGCAGTGGGGGACAGGCCGTCTTCCCCGCTTGGTTTTCTCAATATCGATTCTTTCCCCACTTCTGTACCGTTCTGCTTGCTGATGCAGTGAGGAAAAAACATTCAAACAAGTGGAAGAATACCAGGGCATACAAGCTATTGTTCTTTGCCTGTGTTGTCCAACTCCTGTCTGCTTTCTCTTTATGGCAGAGATGATCCCTTTTAACTGGATGTGAGGTACCGTCCTGACAAGCTGCTGTGCTAGCTGCGGTAGAGGCTTAGCACTGTCACAGGAGATTCTTGGCTATTGGCAGACCTGCATTTGGGATTGGACCAACAAACTCTAAATTTAGAATAATTTTTTGACTTTATTCTGAGGCTTGATTAGCTTGCCTGTCACCTGTTTAACTTCACAGTCTGCTTCAGGGGACAGTGGTGCGTGCGGTGGGTGGGGAGCCAGACGCAGTGGCTAACATTTAAAAGCAAGGAGCTCATTCGTATTCTTGAGGCCAGTCTTGTCAGTTAGAGTGCTGCATTACAGGAACTCATAATTCAAGCTGGCAAGTTATCCTTGGAAACTGTAATATAAATTGGAAACTGTGTATTTGGGGTTATAGTGGTGAGAGTTTTGAGTGAGTAGACTGCAAGTCTTTCATTACGGTAGTTCATGTTCACTTTTCTTACATTTAACGTTGAACTCTTCCTGGCAGGTGATCGTGGAACAGTACGTTCAGTCTCATCCTAATGGCCTTCAGGCTATGTACAATAAACTGTTGGAGTTTGTTCCTCATCATTGCCGTCTCTTGCGGGAGGTAACGGGGGGAGCCATTTCAAGGTAAATATCTTGGGGTTCTTTCGGTTGCACTAAAGTTACAGCAAGTATCATAACTTTTGAAATGCTTTGCATAGTTAGCTTCCATGCACAAAGGTCTTATCTGGCCTTTCCTGAAGATTCGGAGACAAGTTTGATTTCTTTCTTGTCTCCGTGTTTTCAAAACAAAACAGTGAACAAACTTTCTTGGTGCTGCGGCCCTGACTTTCAGAGGAGGGAAAGAATCCTGTATTTCAGCAGTGAAATTGAGTACAGTTAATACATTGTGTCAGATCCCTTGTTTTTTTGAATCCGTGAAACATGTTTGTATGCCTCATCCAAGGAGGAGCACATAATAAAGCTATTAAAAAATAAAAGTTCAAAAAGTTCTGGGGTTGTTAGTGTGATTCGGATAAGTGGGGATGATCCCAAGAGGTTTGACTGATTTATTGCATGTAGTGGAACTACAGGTTTAATTGATTTGTGTAGTGCTTCCACTGTCTTCTCCAAAAGTGCTTAATTCCTTACACAATTAAATTGCCTGTTTTAAAGTTTAAATAATTCAGGTCTAGTGAATTGTATCCGTTTATTCATCTGTTTGCAGGCTGGTTAATACGGTAGACTGCTGTAATTAGCAGAACTATGGACGTAGCCCCTAGGGACTGCAGAATTACTTTTCTAATTAGTCATCCATTGCTGAGCTTTTTATGACTCCTAAGTTTTACTAACATTTCAATTCTTTTAATCCCTCAGCAAGTTTTAATCTTTCTTCTCAATAATGGAACGTTTCTACTTTGTACTGTGGTGTACTGAACTGGAATTAAATGCTTGTATCTCTTCTGCTCTCAATTTATAAATTTTCATAGTCAAGGTAGCTTTTAATCTTTTGCTTCAAAGCACAAGATCATGTATAAATACACCTTGGAACAATTATGAAAAAGTTTTGCTTCTTTCCATTACATTAGTCACATTACTCCTACTTGGTACGTCTTTGAAGTTTGGAGCTGTTAAAACTTGAAGCACACAAGTAAGAATAGGAGTTCTCAGCTGAAATGTACTCATTTTCCAGAACAAACTTGCAAAATATAACACTAATAAAATTTTAAAACATTTTGAGAGCTATAAAAAATACCTTACAGGTGATGAGACTGTGGGTTCGCGTATGAAACCTGGAAGGAAGAATAGTTTAAGGGAGTCAGCATACATACGTAACACAATTTTGTCTAGTGCAGCACATGTCTTTTTAGTTATCCCTACCTCCAAATAGAAGCCTGGTGATAAAATATAACCATGGAATAATTGCAATTTTATTTCAGTGAAAAAGCAGACATTATTCCTGGATATGATTTCTTGGTGAATTCAGTGTGGCCAGAAATAGTACGCGGTTTAGAAGAGAAACTGCCATCGCTGTTTAACCCTGGAAATCCAGATGTGTTTCACGAGGTAATGAATTTTAATTTTTTGCATTTGTGATTCCTTTGACAGACACAAGAATTGAATTAATCATGTTCTCTAGCTTTTTTGCTGCTGCTTTTGTGTAAATTCATGTTGTTGCATGGCTCAGAAGAGGAGGTTATCTCAAATCACTTAATTTAATTTTTATAGTAATTAATTCTCCCCTCTAGTTTGTCAGGAAAGCTTATACAGAAATTACTGGAAGCCAGTCCAAGACTGGGACTTCTGTATAGGAAGGGCTGTCATGTTAAGTACCTTGGTTGTAACTTGGCCTATACTATGGGAAGGTTTAAAAAAAATTGTTTCCTTTGATTGTTTTAGTTTTTACTCTGTCAGTACTGCAGATTATGTTGTGATGAGAAACACAAGTTGACTAAAAGAACCAAAAATACTTGGAGGCAATGTGATAAGTTTTAGAACATAAAAGAAGTATTTTCTCTGGTATTGCAAACAGTTATAAAGCAAGCTTACGTTATAAAATGAATATGAAGTACTTGCCACACTTATATTTTCATCATTGGGAGTGTTTATCTGCCTCGAAAAGATCATCTTTTGCTGATGTTGAAACAGATTTCTTGGTCTAGTATGAAAATTGGCTCTGGCAGTACTTTATTAGTATGTCACAAGCAGAAAATAAAGCTTTCTGCTTTTATTCATGTCCTGTCTGTCTGTGTTTCACCATGACTGCTGAAATGCTTGGATTTATTTTTTTTTCTCCTGTGCAGCTTGACTTATGAATAGTGTGAAACTTTTCATATTCAAGATGGAGATGGCAGGCAGTGATAAGTTGTCTGAAGGAAGGCATAGTAGGCAGACCAGGACAGATGACTTAAGGAGATGTTGGATTGTTGGTGGAGGTTTATAAAGCAAATAATTCTTCTTGTGTTCATGCAAAACTGCTTTGACTAAATACTTACCTTTTCCTTGGAAATTAAGATCTCTTTCATACAGATACATTGCATAATTGAAGGCAGACAGGCATGACAGTGAATGTTTGCAGGGTTGGCTCTGAATAAGAAACGGATGAAATGGGTGTTGAGGAAAACTGTGGTAGTGCCATGCAAATGACACTCTGGAGTGTTCCCCCTCCGCTCTGAGAATGTCTGTCTGTTTCCCATAAAGCTTCAGTCACTCTTCAGGCTTTCACCTAATACCTCGCGTACTGCAGTTTGTGAGCAGAGCTGTGCTTTTGTCACCTGTGCTGCTTGCTTTACACAAGAATGTATTTTTTTTCTTCAGAAGAGCTGGGCTTGCTGTTTTAAATTTAATATTTCTATAAGGCTATCATCTTATGTTAAGCCAGTATTGGCTAATAGTACCACTGTGTTTGTTTACAAAAACAAAACTACAACAACTTAGCACCCCCCATGACTTTCACATAAATTATGTAGTAAGTCTGAAGTACTTTCCAGACTGCTTTTGACTACTTAAGTGACTCAGTCTAAATCATTAAAATATTTTAGCTACAAATCAATAAGAAGTTGAAATGCCAAGTGTAAAAATGCTGTTATGTCTGTGTAAAGAATTCCTCCATGAAGTAAGGGGGTGGGGGGAGACAACTTTAAAATTGTTTCTGCACTGCTGATAATCCAAGTAATGCAACACAGATTTTACAGTCATCTTCTAGCTCTGTTTTCTAGGTTGACAGAAATGCAAAAAAGTCTTCAGGTTTGTTTGGATGTGCATATATGTATAGTTTTAATGCTGAAAAGTTGGAATACGCAGTATTATCTGTTAGGAGGTTTTTAGATGTAGATGGGGGGAACAGAAAAATAGGTTTTTTTAAATCCTGTAAAAATCAGACGTGTTAAGCACATATGTTAAAATAACTATTCACTTGTGCAAAGTTCATTTTTTTTCAGGTGGTTGTGCCCTTATGTCTGAGTCAGATTTGTAGATTTACAGGTATTTGAAAAGGATACTTGTTTTATCCCTAAACATTAATTTGAAACTGTGAAGTTTAGATTCCTGTGTTTGAAAATTGCTCCATTTTGTTTCCCACTTTAACTTCTCTTAACGAACTTTGTGTGGTGAACAATCCAATCCTGGAAGCTGAAATGGGAGCCCGTCTTGCAGTTAGTTCCCTCTCTTGGATATAATGTTTTTGATAACTAGATAAATGTCTCTTGAGTCGTCTTCTGTTTTGAAAGTGATTGGTCTTTGCAGCGTGTTTCGTTTATATCTCTGACTAATACTTTAGGTAGCAGAGCATTAGTGGCTTGTTTGCCTTTTTACAGTACTGGGTTTATTATCTAAGAAAGGAGGCCTGGAAGAGCACCAATCTGTCATTCATTCCGGGTTTAACTCTCATAGCTTTTACTGTTCCCCGGTGTTATAGATACAGCCACGCTGGGAGAAGAGTAGTTACTGAAAGCTTTTGTGTGCAATTTTGAGAATGCCATCCTGAGACACTGAAACTGCCATGCCACAAGAAAAATACGCTGTAATTACACTTCTAACAGCAAGTGATGAACTACTGAGGTACACAGCACAAAGGCATGCCCGTGTCAGTGCGCGTCCTGTGGTCGCAGGAGAGTTTCTGAGAGCGGAACCTCTAAGCAGCAGCAGCTCAGGGGCTTCTCCCGAGAATGTTTTACTGCTTCGTAAGAGGCAAAGTCACATCACGCCCGTAGGGCTCTGGTTTGTGGCAAAAGCCTTGCTGCTACAGCCCTGCTGCTGCTCTTACTGCAGTGAAATCGGAAGCACCGAGAGATTGTCAGCCTTATTTTGTTAATTCAGCAGCAGCTTAATGAGCGTGTATGATATCTTTTGTGGAGGTTTTTTGTTTTATTAATAGAAGAAACTTGCACATGAGGCAAACCATTTTTCATTGCAGAGAGGCATTTTAACTGTTAGCCGTATTTTGACCTTACGCTGATTTACATAACCTTTGCGTTCTGTTAGCATGGTCTGTTTTGTGTGAAATAACAAGTTTATGTATTTATGTTATTTCGTTTAGTTTCAGGTTATTAACAAGTTACTGTTGAGAGTAAGCCCACAGTACATTTTAGGATTAATGTAATTTCTCTTTGCTTGCAACTGGCTTAATACTATTGGTAAACATCTTATTAGAAGTATACACTGGATAATGTTAGTTTAGCTGAAATTGCTTAAAGTTCTTCTGCAAATACCAAATATTTGCAAAACACATCTGTTGGGAAACAGTTATAGAAATTCCTATTAGACAGGTCCTATATAATGGAAAAATATGCTTTCATTCTCATGTGTGTTTGGTTATGTGTACTTCTGGGTTTTGTTCCTGATTATTTCTCTTTTTGTATCCCTTGATCTTCTGGGACTGACTCTGTTCTTCGTACTGTGCAGCACTGTTGTTCCACCCCAGTGATTTCAGCTCAGAAATACTGATGCATCTCTCTGATCGGTTCTGTTTGTTCAGGGTACTTTAACAATTTTATTCTTTTTAGAAGTGTCCTGCACTGGCTTTTCTTATCGTAGAGTAACACCTACTAGTTAATTTGGTTTGGTTTTACTGCAATCCAGAATTTTAGCCTTGTAACATTGGGTGATGGGGACAGTGTCAGTCCATTCTGAACCTCGAGCTTAACTGCAGGGTGATCACCTGCTGAATGGGTGGTGGCCTTCCTTGTTTGCTGAGACCTTGTGCGTGCTCAGAATGCTCGTTCTTTTTCTGCAGAAGTACACTACTAGTATGGATTTTGTACGGAAATTTGAACGACAGTGTGGCTCCCAGGCCAGTGTGAAACGGTTAAGATCTCATCCCTCATACCACAGCTTTAACAACAAGTGGAATTTGCCTGTATATTTTCAAATAAGGTTAGTATGCAATTTTTTTTTTCACTCTTTCAAAGGCAGAGTTCAGTCACAGCAAGGTGATCGGGCTTAGGGTCAGATCTCCTCATCGTTCGAAGTGTCACTCGTCAACAAATCATAGTAGAAGTCAAACTAAGAATTTAATTACTGAGTCAAGTAGCTGTTTTCTGCATCTTTCAACGATTTAACGAAATTAGACAGCTACGTTTCAATATGTACGGTGTTTTTATTACACTGAATTTGACATGCTGCTCAGAAGACTTTCAGGAACAGATCTAGATACGTCTTGAAATCTTGTTTCAAATTCTTTTTCTCCAGTGTCCGTGGAACTAGGCTGTATGTTGAAGGGTGCTGCTTCTGCAAATACAGAGGAATACTTACTAGGAGGGAAGAAATCTTTCTTCCTAGAAATACAGAATTAAAGGACTTGGCACCTTGCAGCTTTTCCAGATCTAGCCGTGTTTCTGACATCCTTTTTGCCTCACAGGATGTGCTCTGTAAAGTGCTAGGTCTTGTAGCATTGCCTTCCCAAAGATTGCCCTACTATTCCATCTTCCTGAGGAGCCAAGTAAGAAGTTTTAGCTTAATTTTCCAGCAGGTCCAATGTACCTGTAGTATTACCTTTTACAGATCTTGCAGCTGGAAGAGAGCAGAGAGACTCAAGAAAGCCCTGTTTTCATTCTAGTAATGCTAGAATTTTAATGAAGGGAACCAAATAGAGTGTAAAGCCATGTTTTTATGAAGTGTGGCCTACACATTTGATTTTAGGGCTGACAGTTGATAATGTGTGAGCTCTCTTGGTTCAAAACCTTCTGAGGGTCTCAAAAAAAAGGGGGGGGGAGGGTAGAATTTAAAAAAGAAAGAGGGGAGAGAAGTTATTTTTAACCTGGATCCCTTCAGTGGCCTCTTACTGACAGAGTCATGCAGTAACAGTATAACCATAGCCACGTTTGTACAGTTTTTTTAATCCAGGATAAATCCACATTGCTGCTGAAGAATTCCATCCAGGAATCTTAGGAGTGCTGTAGCTAGTATAGTGACAGGAGCATGGGGCTGAGAGCAGCATGTTAGCGTTTTGGTGGTTCACTGTTTTGTAAAATGATAACCCCGGCCTCTGCTATCCCGGTTTGGTGTTTTTACTTGCACAACTGTTCCTGCAGCTGTGTAGTGAACCGATACGAGGATCTGTTACCCTGGGCAAAAAAGGCTGACTCTCAACTCTTATTAGTTTCTCCAAACCACTTAGCTGCACAAATATTCCCGCTGGCCCAAGGGAAAAGGCAGGAGTACTCACTGCAGTAGCCGTGCTGAGTGCACAGACTAAAGTGTCCATGGAAGTGTAGCCATTATAAACCTTTTAACAGATATGTATCGTTAATAGGAGTGTGAGTCTGCCCTTTTGTTTGAGAGTGCAGCTTTTCAAATAGGTGACCACTTGATCAAACTTTGATACTCTTGCTCATAAAGTTGAAATGGAGCTTCAGCATGTTCTTGCTGTTCAAAAATGTTCTTTCTGATTAGGTATTTTGAGCTTTGGCTGATGAAAAAAGCTTCTGGAAAAAATAATTTTCCTTTAATCCAAGATTACTGTAAATCTAAATAGTGCGCCATTTTGATAAATGGTTGGATAACAGCAGCTCGTTCATCTTTCACCATATTATTCCTATATATTGGAATAATCTGATACTTTGGGAAGCGCCTATGAATTCTTCAGTGCACAACTGTGAAAATAATGTGACATATTCATTATATCAGGGAGGCTTTTTCTTTGATGTATGTTAATATCCTTAGGTCATACAGGATTTTTATTGGAGTGTTACCGCACACTACAGCATTTATAGTGAAGATTGCCAGGGTTTTTTCTTTTTTCAATTGTAGAAATTGCCCAGAACAATCAGCGCTCACTAAAGCCTTTACAAACGATCCTTTCAGGAGCAACTGGATGTACGTGCATTCCTTCTGTAGCAGTGCTGTTGTTAAATCTGTTTCCATTCTCTAATCCTTTTCATCGTAAGACTTGACGGCACTGCTCTGTTGGTGGAAGTGGTGCCTAGGTAGGAGTAAAGGCCATTTCACAAGTATTTCTAAAATGTGTTTAGTTGCTAAACATGCATCTAGTCCATTAGGAGTTTGAACTAGAACAGCTGGGTGGGCCCCTGTTCTGATCTGGAAATCACAGTTAACGAGGCTTTAAGAGGAGCCCTCCAGGTTCGTAGTTAGTAAGTTTGATAGAAAGACTTGCAGAGTTATTATGATGCACATTGAAGCAGGAAAGGGGAAACCGGTGACAATAGAGCTTTCTGTAGGGGAACTTTAAATAATAGCTTTGTTTCAGCATTTAGAAGGAAAATATGGTTAAAGAACTATTTTCTGCAGCTCTTACTTGACAGTTTTTAAATGAGAGAAATACTATGTTGTTTATTCAATATGCTTTAAATATTGAAAAGTATTGGAGGTTTTAATACTAACTTTGCTGTTATACCAAAAAAATTTGGGGGAGGGAGATTTTTTTCACTTTTTTGAGAAGGGGGTCAAGGCATCCTGTGAGGAACTATTGATTTTTATCAGGTACAGAATTGTTTGCAGAACCTTATGCCACTGTTCGTTAACAAACACGTTAGGCTGAAGCCTCCAGTGTCACATGACATATCTGAAGGTCAGCTAAAGCACGTATGAAACAAGTGTTCACCTTAAAAACAGTAACAAAGCAAAAAACTTCACTCCTCAAAAAAGCTGAGGCTTGACACTGCGAGCTATCATTTTGATAATGTTTGCAACCATAACTTTAATAATTTCCTGAAGTACAAGCTTCATATCTGCCTGTAAAATGTCAAAGGTTCTCTTTCAAGTATTTGAATGTTGGTCTGGTTTATATCCCAGTTTACGTTGGGCAAAAATAACCCCATGTTTAAAATCTCTGTGTGTGTGTTGATAGCACATTGAAATAGTATTGAAATAAACAATGAGAAAATGTGTAGGCATCAGTGTAAGCAGTTGTTGAATTGTAATAGTCAAACTTTTCTGTCTCTCAGATTCAGAGAAATAGCAGGGGCCTTGGAAGAAGCACTTTCAGATACACTAGAGGAAGCACCAGGTAAACTTCTATTGCAAAAATTAATTTCTCAGTTGTGAAGGAATCGGTGGTACAAGTAGCAGTGGTTACTGTCTGTGCATTGAGTATTTAGTAATACGCATCCCGCGGGTTCACGTGAGCTTTCTGTGCCGTGATGGACTGATTAAACAGAATACGTATAGAGAAGGCAGTACAAGACGTCTCTTCAGTGATCACTTTACTGACTAAAACCACCCCTTTTGGCAGCAGTCATTAACATATTTGTGGAACTATCCCCTTAAGGCAAGAAGGAACTAAACTGGCATTTAGCATCCTCCAAGTGACAAGCAAAGGCTGTGCTGTGTTACTGGGATGTGTTTTGCTTAATTGTAGGGCTATGTGAAGGCGAAAACGGCTCTCATCTGTTGGCAGCATTTAGGCTTGCTGTGGTTTACAGCGTTGCTGTCTGCTCCGAGGACACACATTGGTTTGTCAGCAGGTGAGGAGGTCTGCACAGGAAGAATTAGAGTGGAAGGGAAAACCTGATATATTCGTTAGAAATATATTGTAATCAGAAAAACTTGCTTCAGCGAACAGAGTAAATACTTCTGAAGAAGGCAGCTAAGAGCAACATAAATATGTGTGTCTGTGTGTGTATATAGATAGACACATGTGCTCTCTGACGAGAGCAAGGAGAAAAAGATCCTAACGGAGATGAACTGCATAAATCCTGCTACTTCAAGGTGTCTGCCTGGAACTCACACATTCCTTAGCTCTCAGATTATATGCTACAAAATGTTAGTGCATTAACTGCTTTGAAATATTTTGTTTAAATGTGAATATTCCTACTGTGTTTTAAATAAATATGTCTAGGAGGTACCCTGCATATAACTGGGACAGGACCAGTAGTTTAGTGCTAAGGGAGTGTTACTGTTACGTTAGGCAAGCGTGTCTAATATAACTTCTTCATAATTATAGACAGCCAAAAATTATCCTGGAAGTGTTGTCTCCTGAAGTGCATTATTTGGCCAAGCTGTTCCTGCCTTTGTTGCAGGCACATTCTCATTTGTTGCTTTTATGTGCACAGCTGCAGGAAAACTTAGTGGAATTTGAAATCTAAAGCCACGAGGAGCTAATATTTTAAGAGTTTGTTTCAGACAGTGCTTAATAAATCCTCTGTGCTATCTTTGTGATTGTGTCTCTTTGGAAGACTACTGGCTTTTTGCTCAATTTTTTTAAATCTCAGGTAGTGCAGTTACACTGGTGTTACATCTTTTTAAAAATGTGCCGAGGAACTTGACCTTTGTCTGATTGTTTCTAGCTGGCAGCTCCTACTGTCTTTTGGCCACTCACATGGTCTGGATGAGTCTTCTGAAGTGCTGGTCCGATCAAATGTTTTTACCGTTGTTAGCACACCGTCTGTGGAAACTTAGTCTGCAGATTTTGGCGCGGTACTCTGTGTTCGTTGGTGAGGTAAGAGAACAGCACGCTTATGATTTTGGAGGTTGGGTGTGTTCATCAGTAAGAGACCTTCTGAAACAAACTATGTGACCTCTTCTTAAGCACTTTTTTTCCCCGAACTCAACGTTCTTGACCAAGAATGCTTTCAAGCAGCTCATGAGTTTGTTTTATAGAAAGTGTCACTGCAAAATATGTCATCAGCCACAAATACGGTGCTCCTGTGGCGTTACTGTTTGATGATTACCAAGGCTGTATTTCCATGGATGCATGAGGCTGCCTCTGCCACTGAAAGGAGTAGGCACCATCTTTTGGGTTTGTTCTGTTTGTGTAAGTGTTTTTCTCATTGATACAGTGAAAAAGGTTTTGAAACAGAGCCAGGTGAAAACTCACTCTGGAAAAAAAGAAGGGGGTGAGTTAATCCCCATCGGTTGCTCAATATTGAGACTGTAAAACTGAAAGTCTCCTGAGCAACTGATTCAACATCAACGATTCCCTGCTTCTGAGCAGGAGAGATTGTTCTTTGCTCTTCTACTCCCTGCTCCCAGCCATACAAGTTTTCCCGTTTCTTGTGTCATAGAAAGAGAGCATGGTGGAATAATTGGGGTTTAAAGGGACTCCTGGAGGTCTTCTGGTCCAGATTCCTGTACAGAACAAGGCCAGCTTAAATAAGGTGGTGCAGAGCCTTTTCAAGTTGAATTTGGAGTATATCCGAAGATGGCAATTTCACGCCTCTCTGGGAACCCTGGTCCACTTTTTCCTCATATTTGATCAGATTTTCCATTGCTACAGTCCATGACCATTGCCTCTTACTCTGTCACTGTACCTCAAGGAAGAGTCTGATTCCATCTGCTATATACGTGCCCATTAGGTAGTTGAAGGCAGCAGTTAAGATCTCCCTTTATCCTTCTCTTAAGACTAAATGACTCGGTTCTCTCAGCTAAACTGGTTCATTGAAAGTCCTGACAAGTACCAGAGTTGAGAGAGTTGTGGGGTGAAGCACGTGCCTGGCAGCAGAGGACTTGAGGAGGTGGGAGAAAGGAGTTTTTGACAGCCGTGAGTGGTTATGACTTTTGTATTCCAGCGTATGAAAATAAACTGTATTTCTACAAAGCAGATAATGATCAGATTTTTGGCCTTGCACATTGCTTCCATGCAGTAGTTTGTTCAAACACCACACGGGTGAAAATTGCTGTAGGACTGGACTGCCTTCTGCTATAGTGACAAGTTTGCTCCAGATCATCCAACTCCTTAGTGCAGCTAAAACTATTTTAAAAATATCTTTTTTAATGTAATTTAGAAATGCTAGTATCCCTTGCAAGTGTGGCATTCTAATGCTGAAAACTTACAAATCCTTTATATACTGTTTCTTTTTGTCCAACTTTAACTGCCTTCGCTATTTTTAGGGTTCGCATCTCAATTTGATGTTACAGGTTTCTGTAAGGCCCGTTTCCTGTGAGAATACGAAGGAAAGCAAAAAATCTGTGCCAGTTGGTAGAAAAGAATCTTCTGTAAGCCTCAACCCTGGTGAGGACCAAGGGAATGGGTCTTCTCCAGAAAGTCAGCCGTTGCCTTCTGTATCTAGTACTCAGCTGATATATGTTGCTGCAGATCTGGACAAACTCCAGGATCAGGTTTGTGCTTGTGTCTTCACTTAGAAAAGAGTCTTCCGTGATTTACTTGCCAGTGTTGTCTGGCATCTTGTTAAGGACATGAAATTGTTTAAAATCATGTACTATAAAGCTGTTTTTAAATCTTAAATGCTAAAACTGGAGTAGTCCAGTATAGAAAATACCACCTGAAATAAATGCTCTACTCTATGCTTATTTGGAGTGGCAGATTACAGAGAGACCACTTCAAGTATTGAAGCTCTTTCTATCAGGAGCTGCTGGACTTAACCTCTAAAATAACAAGTTTCTGCTCATTTTTGGTGCAAAACGTCACTGTCCCCAGAGTCTTTTCTTTGCTAGCAAAATCTCTGTTGCAGGTGGGAGTGTGGTGCAATATTCAGCTTTAAAATTGCATTCTCTTCTAAATGTTTACTGATTTTAGTCTTTGAGGGTGAAAAAAGGTTTTATCATCATGATTATGCTTTGCTAATGATCGAGAATCTTGAGAGGTACAGTATTTTCTTTCAGTAGAGATGACTTCTGTCCATTTTTGGTCAAGAAGGCTGAAATTTCTGTGGTTTGTGAAGTTGTAAGTTGCATCTGGGTTGAAAACATTTTGTTAATTCTATATTATTTCCTCTGAGGACAGTAGTAAGGTAGGGGATTTAGTGCATAGGCCTTAATTCCTGTGAATATTGTATTCTTCTAGTATTGATTTCCCATAAATGCAGTAAAAAAAATAGAAAAGATTGAAGGTGTCTTTTGATGCACTGGAAGCTTACAGAATATAAGAAAAATAATGAAGATATGTTTATAACATGAATGTATCTCTTGGTTTTTTTTGTTCAGATTCCTGATATCTTGGAAATGATTAAACCAAAACTTGAAATTATTGGCTTCAAGAATGTGTCTTGTATTGCAGGTAAAGCTGAGAGGCTGAATTCAGTTGCTTTCCCCTTCTTCCATATCCCCTCTGCCAACAAACAAAATCAGCTTTTACACAGTTTCATTACAAAAATTCAATTTACAATAAAAATTTGAAAATACTGATGTGTTTATTACTTATGAAGCTGCTATAGTTTTAAATTGTTAGATAGAAATGATCTTGAGTAGACACATTAAGTCTGGAAAACATTTGATTAAAACTGAGGAACTGAGTGAGTATGAAGTGCTTTGGGATGTGTTTTCTTTTTTTCTTTTTCCTTTCTTTTTGAATTAACTTGTCCAGTAATTAGGATGCTTTTCCAGCAGGTGGGGGACCTTAAGCTAGGAGATTCATAAAAAGTCTTTAAACACATACTTGTAAAGGAAATGGGGAAGAAGTAAAGAGGGGCTTTCCATTGTCCAATTGAAACTAAAATATTGTTCTAAAAAGATTTTTCTACTTTTGGCCTGATGCATCGTGTAAGGAGAAGAGTTCCCAGAGTTGCATAGTTAAATACCTTAACTTCAGAGGACATAAGCAATTAAGCATTTTAGCCTCTTTTTCTGGTGTTTTCTTTGTTTGTTTTTTTTTTTTTTTTTTAATCTGATCCTTCTGTGTGTGAAACGTGGAGTCTGATTTTAGTTTAGTAGTTAAAGCCAGGCATGTAGTAGCTGGGTGAGTGAACTAGTCCCTGTCTTCAAGTATAGCTGGAAGTTCTGCACTGTGAATTCCACTTAAATCTCTAAATTGTGCTTATTGGTGGATGTCCACGTCCATAAGAGGGCTTGTGCACGTCCCTCACTCAGCAGATGGTCTGTTGTCAGTCACAGCTTTGAGTTGAGCATGTTCCAGTCACTCCACAGGGAATTTAGGTACCATGAGAGAGAATTTCACAACCACAGTTTCTGTGGCAGGTCGGAGCCTTTTGATTGAAGCCCCTTGCTACATTGGTAATACTGAAAAAAAAGTGAACCTGGAGAATGTTACTTTACCCCTTTTTTCTTTCCTTCCCTTCGTCTGTTTTTCTGGCTGAGGAATGGGTGACATTACTGGAGTTGTCTTCTAGATGGCTGGTGTTAGTAAGCATCCTGTATTTGACACCAACATCCATCTAAGATAGTGAGATTGGGATGATGGGGGGGTTCACCTAGTTCATATTGTGATTGGACAGGGTAGCTCAGTTTAAACTTTAGCATTTTTTTTTCAATAGGAGCCTTGGAAGACTCAAAGACTTCTTTATCAGCCTGCGTGCCTACCTTGAACAACAGGATTATCCAGGATCTCAGTGAGTCCTCCTTCGCTTACCTAAAGAGTGCACTGGAAGTTCCAAGATTATACAGGAGAACAAATAAGGTCAGTGCTGGTTGCAAATGGAAAAATTAAATCTCAGAAAGGCCTGTGCTAAGAATGTTGACCAGGCAGTACATTTATGAGTTCTTCAGGCCTGTCTATATATGCTTGACAGTCAAGTGCCCTATTAAATACCTTGAATTAATTTAGTGATTTATTGTTTACCTCACTGAAAAGGGAAAAAAAAAATCGTATTTTCAAAAATTTGAGGTAGAGTAACAATGATGTGGGCACAGGCCTGAGATAGAAGGAAGGGCAAGGAGTAGAACTGTTGATGTGCGAGAGAAAAAGGGTTAATGAGAATAAATGTGTTTCCCTCATGTCATAGCACATGCCATGAGATGCAGTGCTTCTGTGTGGCAGGCTTCATTTGGGGGGATGACACTTGTACCTGCTGTGTCAAGAAACTTCCTCTCAGCGGGCTAGCTGCTTGGATTTGATTAAAGAAATACCTTGCATGGAAGGAACCAGATGAGAATGGCTAGAAAGAGTAATTTGTTGAGAAACTAATAAAAAGTAGCGGTGAAATACGATACCAAAAATGATTGTCTGATCTTAGCTTGTTTTACTACTGTGATTTGCCTTTGCCAGTCTGCACACTCTTGTTGGTAGAAAGCTTGGTATCATTTAGGCAATAGAAAACAAACTGGGTAACGGGGACCACAGACTACTACATCCTTGCCTAATTTGAACACAGAGGGCAGGCTGAAATGGGCAAGACCCGTTGCTGGGAGAGGGTTGCCTTGACTCGCCAAAATCAAAACCACTTTCCTGGCTATCACAAAGAAACTGCACCACCACCAACAGTGCTGTACTTTTTCAGTGGCTAAATGGAAAAATCTACTTCTTTCAAGGATATTAAATTTTCATTGGGTGGTAAACATTGAGGGTAAGCTGGAAGATAAATTGTTCTTAAGGGAGTAGTTTATTACTTCAGTTTACTATTAGGGTTTCTCATTATCTTAGTTTTAAGGACCTACTTAATCAGGAATTGTATTTAAAAAGGAGAAACAACCTCAAAGCCAATAAATCCATCTATGTAGCGAATGGTTTATTCTGTCTTTAACACAGAATATTTTTACTTAAGGAAAGAGTAGGACAAAGTATTGTAAGTCCAAAGCAGGTGAAAAACCCAACAGCCCTACACTGCTTAGCTCAGCTATCTGAAACCAAACTCTGCATAGTGATTCAGTGGACTGCCATCATCTCTCAGTTGTCCAAGGGATGTTTTAAGCAGGTGATGGCCTAACTGTGCCAAAACAGAGACCTAGGACCTGTCTAGTTTCAGTTCAGTCAGGTTGCTAGCTGGAGGTCTGTACTCACGAGTGTGACTGGATTGCTTTCTTGGCCATCAGTCTAACTGCCTTTATGTGGTGCGAAGCCTGAACTGATGAACAGGGGCGAGACTTGGGTAGAGAAGGTGCGTTACTACAGTCATGTTAAGTTCTGGCAACTTGATTTTTACTATGTTCTAATACTTTGATTTTTCAGCAGAATTCAGAATTTGGTATGAGGATAGTCTTTGCAGGAATTGGATGTGCAAAGGCTCTCTTGCTTGGCCAAGTTCTAAGATTTGGGACTCTTAAGAGGTTAATGAGGTACTATGGGTATCAGGGATTTTGTGTGCCCTGGATATGTTCTGTTGCTTTGCAGTGGATGAGGTTCATCCAAGCTGTGTGTGGATGGTCCCTGCAGAGACGAATCATCCTGCAACCAAAACTAGCCAAGAAGAAGATAGTGAGGGGATATTGGTTATCCCAAAAGCTTTCTTCTGGAAGACACACCAACGGAGCAGGATGGTATAAGAACAGAAGGAATAATGTCTTCAGTTTAGTGCAGTATAGTATGAAATAGTAGGTAATTTAACAAGGATGTGGTAGGCTGTCTGCTCAGCTTTCTCTGAAATCAGCATGAGCAGAAAGTACATTCAGGATCGTGCCCCGATAACAGGAGTGGCGTTTCTCAAAAAGCTTTGGTCATTTTGAACCTCGTTCTGTATTATATCATGTTGTATAGCACTACTGAATGATTTTGTGATGATGTCTTTCCTATGTATGATGACCTCTTCATTGATGTCATGAATTGCGTGTATATATGTGCATTGACACATGTGTGCATAGCATTTTATGTGTGTGCTACAATTCGGTGTTGATGCTTTCAGTAAGTAAGTAAATTACTGGTTCTTTTTCCCAACCTCGTTTCTCTGTCATCTACCAGGAGGTGCCAACTAAAGCTTCACCTTATGTCGACAGTGCTCTTAAGCCCTTCTACCGACTGCAGAACGAATACAAAGATATATTGAAGCAGCCGATGATTCATCAGTGGTTGGAAGGTGCCCTCTCTGAAAGCACACAAAAGTAAGAGAACCATACAGAACATTCTGTGCATTAATTAAAAATGCCTTGGTCTGTGTTGAGTTCAGACAGCTTGTACAGGTCAAAAATGTTGTGATGAGGAGGAGGCTTCAACACTGAATGTCAATCTTCATATTGACCTGCAGAACTAATGATGAAGTACTGGTTAATTGATAATGATGGAAACATAGGTAGTTTCCTCGCAAGGAAAACCATTCTTCCCAGCATTGTTCAGTATTGTTCTCAGGGCTGGTGATGTGTACTGATGTGTGTGAAGTAGGCTTTTCTGTAAAGGTGTAATTTTTTTTTCTTTCTTTCTCATTAATCTTCCTTAATTTAGGTATTATGAAACTGTATCTGATGTGCTAAGTTCTGTTAAGAAAATGGAAGAGAGCCTAAAAAGGTTGAAGCAAGCTAGAAGAACTGCAACTTCAAACCCTGTCGGTACAAATGGGGGCATGAGTGATGATAACAAAATCCGACTGCAGCTGGCCCTAGATGTTGAGTATTTTGGAGAACAAGTAAGTTATGAGAAACAAGTTTGTTTGCTATTATTACTGATTTTGGAAGGGAGTGAGATAGAGGGGGAAAGGGAAGCTTGACTTATTTTTTTGGTCTGAAAAGCTTTGTTGGTATGGTTTTGTTTTTTGGGTTTTTTTGCTTTGCTTGTTCGCATCTGTATAATGGAGGTGACTTGAGACCTTGGTGACTGTAGATACCCCTTGAGCAATGCGTGCTGTCGTGTCCTTTCAAATACAAATACAAAAACAAAACTTGTATTTCTTACTATGCAAAATTCAGGTACTGCTTCGTGCTTAGAAGCACGAAGAAAAAACACTGTGTGGACTGATCAGAGGGCAGGGATCTTCCTTAGCTCTGATGGAAACATCTTTATGGCTCTGCTTTTGTTTGCCTTCTCTCTGGATATTTCCAGCTTCAACTTACTGAGTAGCCAAGGCTCTGTTCCCAAGAGCTGTGAAGATGTTAGCCTTATTTCTTGTGCTGTGTAACTGTAGGTTCCTTTCAGTGCCAAATGTGAAACCTTAAATAGCAAAACAAATAAAAGAATAAAATATTCCAGGAAATGTGTGCAGCAGCTACATCAGATTGTATAAGCATACTGTTTTGTATTCATTTATTTCTGACAATTATGTATAGAAATAAACAACCTTCCAAGTGCAAGTCCATGTCATTAGTTGCCAATGCTTTTGAGCAGATGCTGTTGATGCGTGGTAACAGGCAGATAAAGTCTGCCTCTGTGTGAGCACGTGCTTGTCTCGTACCTGAGACTTTACACAAAGGAAGAAGATTTGGGTGGAAGTACGGAAATCTTACTAACAAGAACTATTATTTGGCAGGTTTTGGCTGGGGTTGGACTTTGTGCTTTTATTCCTATAATGTGTACTAACATCACTGCAGTGCGATTTTAAGCTGAACTGGGATAGGCTCGTAGTCATTTAGGAACTGCTTTGGAACATGTGAACATTGCAAAGAGTTCCAACAGCAAGCACCCTTTCAGAATCATTTAATTACAGTTTTATTTAGATACAGATTTTTCTGTTTCAGTGCACTCATAGTTTTTTCATGGCTGTATTTCTGTAGCTGCCAGAGCAATAGGATTTCCTGGGGAAGAAGTGACTCGTAGCAACCTCTATTTGTGCAGTGGTTTTCATCCCCCAGGAAGTTCGGGGCTAGAGCCTTAGGCTCTTGCAGCCTCTTGAAATGCTTTCACCATCATGCTGTTGGCTGTTCTTGGATGTATTCATGTTTACCTTTAAAGTCGTGCCCAGAAACTTTGTTTGGGGTTTGAAAAAATTTTGGTTCAAATTAATGCATTAAACTTAGAGCCAAGTTTCTCTTTCTGACTGTTTCATTGGAAAACTTCAAATTGGCTTTAGTTACAAGTTGTCTGGAAGATGATTAAATATTTTCCTGCAAGACCCTACATTAACTGAGCAAAGTTGGGTACAAATTTTTTTATAGAGAGGAAAGGCTGAGGGAGCTGGGCTTGTTCAGCGTGAAGAAGAGAAGGCTGAGAGGGGACCTAATAAATGCTGATAAATATCTGCAGGGTGGGTGTCAGGATGACGGGGCCAGACTCTTTTCAGTGGTGCCCAGCGACAGGACAAGGGGCAATGGGCACAAACTGAAGCAGAGGAAGTTCCGTCTGAACATGAGGAAGAACTTCTTCACTCTGAGGGTGATGGAGCCCTGGACCAGGCTGCCCAGGGAGGTTGTGGAGTCTCCTTCTCTGGAGATATTCAGGACCCGCCTGGACAAGGTCCTGTGCAGCCTGCTCTGGGTGACCCTGCTTCGGCAGGGGGTTTGGACTGGGTGACCCACAGAGGGCCCTTCCGACCCCTGCCGTGCTGGGATTCTGGGATTCTGTGACTATATGCAGTTTTGGATTTTTGCCGCGCATTAATGCAGGACAAAACGCATGCTTTGCTAAATGTTTTAAGTAGAATAAATAATGGTCTTTATGTTTTAAAGAAAATTAATGTTTCTTCTGTGTCTGTTTTAGATACGAAAGATGGGACTGGACACAAGCAGCATAAAAAGCTTTCCAGCCCTTGCAGAGCTGGTTCTGACTGCCAAGGACCAGGCTACAGCAGAACAATCCTAGATATTTTTGAAAGCATGTGAGTGAAGATAAACAGTGTCCCCAGAAGAAGGAGAGAGAATTTAACTCTTCCTTATTTTACCAAACAAGTAGCAATGAAGTGCTTCCTAATGTATCTCGAGCAACAAGTCAGTGCATCTGCTGTCAAGATAGGCTTGTTGCACCAAAAGGCTGAGAATTTACTGTGGGTTTCCATTATATGGAAAACAGTGAAAAGTTCTAAACCTTCTACTGTAGAATAAAAGTGGAAGAATTTTTTTTTTTTATTTTTGTTGTACATCTCAAAATGCAGAAGAATGAACTTATATCATGAAAATAATATGTAATAAATTGTCTTTCTAACTCTTGGTGTCCCATATGTTTTTGAATCAAATGTGTTCATTGGTGGCTGTCAGAAGCTTTCGAAGGGACTTTACTCCAGCTCTCCTGGAATAAAGGAGGTGCTCACAGGAGCAGGAGCCTGCTGTTTCTTGTTACTGCTTTGCACTTACCTGCTTTGCCTCATCGTGGGGATGGGTTTGGGTTTTGAATGTTTTCATTTTACTGATTTCTTTTTTTCATGGACCTTCTCAGTGAGAAGTGCTGCATAAAAAAAACTCTTCACTTTTAAATTTCAAAAATAATTTCTGGTATCAGTATCTGACTTACTGGCTGGGGCACTCAGGCTACCTGTTTTTCTTCAAACTAAAACTTAATTCACTAAGCTAGAGTTTGTTCAGAGTTGGCGTATTTCTGATTCGTTTTATATTGTCTGTTAGAATTCAGGGGTGTATGGTGCCTGAACACAGGTAAAATTCTTGTAACTTCAAACCTAGTTACTTCAGTACAAGGTGCATCTTTATATAGCAGGAAGTTTGAAAGAGTTGTTAGGGTTTTAAGTGGTAGAAGGATTATCAAAGAGCTCTCTTGAACCTAGAGTGCTTAGCCTGTTGACACTTCTCTTTTGTATGTGAGGGACGGGTAACAGAGGCCGGCGGCAGTGGGAGGTGGATCTGAGGCTTTCAAATGGGAGAACGCCCTGTGTGAGTGAAGGAAGGTTTTGTTTGTTGTTTTGTGAGGTTTGGTTGTTTTTTTTTACCTTGTGAAAAGTTAACACTGGAATTCTAGTTCCTGTTCATGAATTAAAAACACCCAATTTCTCCCGAAAGTATTTAGAGAGTTTGGGTCTTAACGGGAGAGCTGACGATGATGCAAGTCTTCGGGTACTTGGAGATACAGTGCTCGTAGCACGGGGCTGTTACGTAGCATTGATGTTGCAGTGAGCAAACCTTTCGCAGCATGAAGGCTTTTGTTCCTCACTGCTGGAGAACTGGCCAGATTTTAACTGGGAAGACACAGCTGTGTGATCACTGTGCTTTTGAAGCCGTTGGGTGATTATTACGACTTTTCTAAAATGAATTTTATGAAGGGAGGCAGTGGGGAAAGTACTGCTTAAAATCATCTTGGTTCTTGGATTCAGTCTGAGTAATGGAGAGCAGGATTTAGCTCTTCTAATTGGCTTACCATCTCTGGTCACGGCAATGTATACAACGGAGAGAGCATCCGAATTTATTGCTGGAGACGGAAGCAGCAAAGTGAACCGACTTGCTGGATGTCAGGTTTGTTCGTCTCCTGGAGCGGCGTGGAGATCCTCAGCCAGCCAAGGGCTCAAGCACGCGCTACTGAATCAACATAACCCTCGCTGCTTACGAACAAGAGTTTTGATGTCTCTCTTCTATTTTTCCAGGCTTCTGACTGATGAACCCAGAAAGCTTGGTCTCCCTGCACCTCTTCATGTGCTTTTGTTAGCAGTCGGGAGCAGAGATGTCTTGCTACCGCTAACTACTGTTGTTTTCAGCGATGCTTCCTCATTATAAAACGAATATGTAAGTTGTAGTCTGAGGCTGAGATTGTAGTGTTGTAAATGCGTTGTGCAACGTCTTATTTTGGAAGCTGTGTACCTCTATAAATTCGAATTTCTCTAACAGCTGTCACAACAGTAGCAGATTCTGAGACCTCTGGATACTGGTGACTGAAGGTAGAACAGCTTGCTTTGTGTCCTCCAAAATCGGGGAAAAGGATGCGATCTGTGTACCAAACCAAAAAAGCACAAAAAGGTTACTTGCCCTTTTGCACGTGATTTACGACACCTTCCTGCAGTAACAACCCTTCTGACCTGTCACCAGCAGCTTGCTGAGCGTGCAGCCTGCCTTCTGTTCTTCTCCACCAAAGACCAGCTGTAATTTCAGGGCAAGAAACAACATTGTATAGCAAATCAAAATTATCGAATGGCCCTCTGATTGCCGTAAACGTCGACATCACTGGTTTTGTGCCAGTTCCCCACCTTTTGTTCACTTGAATAGCATTTAATTTTCTTTCAGTGGAATACGGCGTTAGTTAAAAATGTCTGTGATGCTCCTGTTGAGAGAGGGGTGTGAATCGGCTTTGTCTTTGGTAAAATGAATTTTAGCATTTTCAGATACTGCGGATCAGTCGGGAGGGGAGAAGAGGATCTACCATGTCAGTAAGTGTGTTCAGATAGAGGTGTCTGCTGCTACTGAGCTTCTTTCTTCCGTTCTTCAGATTTTTAGTTTTATTTAAGTGCAGTTCATGCCAGTAATGCAGATTTTGCATCTTCTTCCCTTCTAGGACTTCTAGAAAACGCACTGTGCTATGTCTGGAAGGAATTCAGCTGGAAGAAAGTT